TTCCTTGAACTTGACAGATTAGTCACTCTCCTCAGTCCCTGGAAATAATGATTTTCAAGGTTAGAATAAAACAGAGAAAAATACTATAATAAGTTAATGAGGAAACGGTGCTTATCTAATGCAACTTACTGCAGTCCTTGGGCAGACAAATCTCCAGTTAAAACATTTTATTTATGCAGTTTAATATTTAATATGTACTGATTTGATTAATATACTTGTGTTTACACTTTTTAATATTTGTTTTAGTTATAGTATATTTTTTTCACAATACATTACAGCACTAATTGAACTGAGTGAAACAGCACAATGCAGCAATCTGGTTTTCTTTACCACATCTTTCTGAGAGTTAGATTAGGTATCTCTTTTCAGCAATGCGTTTTGCTGGTTACACTATTCAAAAGAGCTGTTTCTTCTCCAGTGAAAACAGCACAAATATTTCATATGGGTAAGCAGTTTACCAAGGGGCTTATAAGGTTAAAGCAATTTAAATTAATTTCTCAATAGAAAAGGAAGTGCTTTGCAAGAAAATAAATGAATAAATAACAGCAAAAAATCAGGCACCATTTAGTGATTCCAGGAATTATTATTATTCTCCAAAAGCTTCCTTTCAATACATAACACACAAAAAGATTTGTACAAAAAGATTTGTGGAGACGTGCACTTGTTTTGAGTATCAGAGAGGTTTCCAGTGTTTTTATATTGATTCTCTTCAGCAAAGAGTAATGTTCCAGGAACTTAGAGATGCAGAGCCCTTATTTTTCATTACTTAGAGTTTTTTTTCTCTTTTGCCCTAGAACATTAATATTAATTCTAATTCATTATTTCAAACAATATTCTTGGTCCTTGAACCTCTCTCTCTTCCTTTGATACTGAGTGGCACAAGGGAGAAGCTTGAATGCTTTAAAAATTGGGACCGGGCCCTGAAGACAAACTAACATCTACTTGAAACAAGACAGCAACTCTTTTAGCATCAGAAAGTCCAGAAGAAAAAATGGGGAAAAAGCAGGAAAGAAAATGGCATAACA